TTCACCCTGCCTTTAGACTATCATCACTTAAATATTACACATAAAACAGTGATTTCATAGCTCTTAGCACTACAACAAAGCTAAGCCAGTGCTAGTTTCATGTCTGGAGTCATTTTGCAATCATTATTGCTTCAGATACAGGAGAAAAACCTAGTCTAAGGTTTTTTTAATTCAAGTGACGAGACTTGAAAATATTTCAGTTTTTTGGAAAATCTGTTTTCCATTTTTTATAAATGCACATATTTAAATTGGTTATAAACAATAATTACAAACTGCTTACTCAGCTAAATGAAATCGCAAGCAATGAATTACCAGTTTGTAGGAATTAACTTTATTTATAATAATTTTTATTAGTTATAAAGAAATAAAAACCCTTTTAACACATTAACCCTTCAATCCCCATAAAAATCCCATGCAGTCGTATGAGTCCGACAAATGCCACCCACAGCACTTTAAAACATTAAAACTTATATATAGAGACTACTTTTCTATGAAGAAGTTCGGCATTATAAAATCTATACCAAATTCTCTATCCTGTGGTCTAAACAAAAGTCAAACAGGTTTTACTTCATTACAAAAAGATTTTATTGTATTTTGATAACAAAACTAATACATAGAGGATGTCAGTAGCGCGAAAATCACAATTATTTCTATATTTCTATATATTACTCAAATTTACGTAAAAAGATAAATTATATTCACACAAAAACTTTCATTACAATTTTATAATAAAACACTATACAAAAACACTAATAAAACACTAGAAAAATCCAAAAACAATACAATAACATTCACATGAAAATGGCGTACTAAATGAACGTAGATTATAAATAAATATCCATAGACTAAGTAACTTCTTATTCCACTAGAGGATAGAAAATTTCATATTGATTCTATAATACCAGACCTCTTTATAGAAAAGCTAGTCTCTAAACATAAGTATTTATGGGTTAAAGTGCTGTGGGTGGGCGCGGTCACATTTGACCTCTTGAATTTTGACAGAATATCGAAGCGGTCAAATTTGAATGCTTGCCTTTTGAGAGGTTAAATGTAAATTAATTTAACATGATAATTGAAAATTGTGGGTTTTTATCAAAAGTTTCCTAATAACATATATTAGATAACAGTAATATGTAGAATTGCAGGTGCATTTTTAGCCTTTTGAAAAGGAAGTGTAGGTTCCAACTCCTATTTTGAAAAATTGCTTGTAGCTGATTCCACAGTCATGAGAAGATTAACTTGTGCTACTTTTCCAGCCACAGACTTCAGAAACATTTCTAACTAATAAGATGTTTAAAATATTGTAATATGGAAAATAATATAAAATATTACAGAAGTTATATTCTGAAAGCACTGCATGTAATAATATATGATGTAACTTTTTATTATTATTTAGAATATTTTCTCATATTCTTGTCTGGTTGGAATAAATAAATGTAATATACATAAGTTCATATACACACCATAACAATTAATGCACAAATAATATAAATATATTTAAACTAATAGTATCCGCTAACAGAAATGTGTCCAAAAAAAAAAAAATCCAAATTACTCTGAACATTAATTTTTTACATGGTAGCAATGTATTGTTGTTTATTCCAATTGTTTTCTTATTGTAAAAATTGGATGCACCAGGGGTTGCTTTATGCCCTTATCATATTCTGTTTCACCTCAGGAATTGTGTAATTGTTAGGTATTAAACTTGAAGCAGCCTGTAGCTATTGTAAGGAAGTATCTGACAGACCACATCATGTGGTCGCCTTGTGGGTCAATATCAACATATACCATATTTCTGGTCGCGTCCTGCCGAACCAATCACTATTTCCAGTTTTACCTTGAGCTGCATATTTCTATAAAAAATATGTGGTCTTGAGTCCCGAGCAGCAATTTATTTTATAATATACAGATAGTTTAAACTGGAGATTGCCCCGGCTATGCACGCGTGATTTCTGGGTCTCGACAACAGTGCCCCCCACCAGGCCCAAATGTTAATATAAACTATCTAGGGACCCATTCAAACACACCCAAAAAATTGCATCAAAATCAGTTGGATGGTTTCAGTCTATTACGGACATAAGTAGAAATAATTTTTGCGTTTTATATATTAATTACTTTAAATAGCATTTGATTTCAATGCTATTTAAAGTTATATTTTATGGTATATGCTGATGTATTTTATATTAGTTTGGTTTATCATTTTACTATTGGTATATTGAAAGGTTGAGGTGGATAGGATCAGTGTTATTAGGGGGATAAAATCCAAAGTGTCCGAAAATATGGTAAACATCATTTCAAATATGATGCTTGTGTGTAATCCGTATTGTAATCTGTATGGCAGGAACAATTTAAATCATTAACCAGTCTTCAATCACTGCAGCCTCTATTGCTGCTCCAGCACAACATACCAATGAAAGTGACAAAGATTTAGATTTCAATCTTTTAAAAATGTAAAGATTTACAGATTTTTGACAGAAAACACCAACAATCTCAACTTTAATTTAAAAATTATTGTTGGCAACACTGCCTTTGCTGAAATCACATTTTCAAGCAATTTGAATGAAATGAATAAATAAATGTAATATAATTTACTGTACACCAAAAAATTCGAGAACAAAACACAACAAATTATTTAAAGGTACAATTAGAGGCCTTATTGCTTAGAAGTGATTAATACAAGGCAACCACATATATAATGACCTGTGAGAAAGAGTAAAAGTGTACACAAGTTGTCAGAAAATACACATACATATAATTATATACTCAATAAATACATATATAATATAATAATAAATTTCATATTGTAACAGATTATACAGCGCTGTTGTTTAGTACTTTTGTTATTGTTTGAAAGACAAGAACTTGTAGACAGGGCCGAGTAATTAATAACATGTTTCAATTTTATTACATATTTTTTTTTAGAATAGAAATAACATAGGACAAATATATTATAGAATGAACGACCACTAGGTAGTTAATAGCAGTTTTGAAAAATAAAAGTGGTACATGTCAAGATTGTGGTAACAGGTCAAGAAGAAAATTAACCAATTAGAAAGTAATTTGATGCCAAAATTAATGAGTACAATGACAAAATGCAATAGGTAATAAGAAAACTATCCACTAACTACAGTGGTAACTAGTAAAATGTGATCAATTGTTAATTATGAATCTGTGGTTATACTTGGTACCATCATATCTGTTGATATAAAGAAAAGGACAGACAAAACAAGTCCACACAACACTATAAATGTTATGAAATAGAATGTCAACAAATGAAAGGTGCCCTGATTATTTAAAATATTCCACTTTCTCCTTTACCGCGTATACGTCCAAATTACCACACAAGTGCAACGTACAACGAAATTGCACGTTCTATATGGCACAGATAGAGGACTACAAAAACTAATTACGATATTTGTTCCAACTAACGAAGTCAAGCTCAAAATAGATCTAACGCAATAATAACATCGACACGATTATTCTATAGGTCAATCTTTCAATAAAAAAATTATGCTCGTTACGGTGCAAAGTCGACGCGGCATATATAGCTTTATTGCAATGCAATTTATCTAAATAAAAATTAAAGTAAAGGCACGTGTCGAATTCTACGTAACATACATAACCGTGTTGAGTACTTACTCATTTGATGAACTTTCGGCACTTTTTCGATACTTAGCAATCTAGGGATAAAATATATTGCAATTATTGTGGTTTCGTTGCACGATAACTGATAAATTAGCACTATAACCTATAATTTCACTACACACAAGACCGATTTGCGAGCCTTCGTGGCGCAAATGGCGACCAAAGTGATGTTTGTACGAGACTAAGTCCAGAACTACGTTTATGCAACTTCAGATCGGTGGAAACGCCGGCTTTTTTAGGTGTTTAGGTCGATAAAGGATTATAATGATAAAAAACAGCTTTATAAGATAGAATACATACTCTTGTTAATTTAGAAAGGCCAAAATAATTGTCATAATGACTTTCGGCTGAGATTTCTATTTTTAAAAATAGACTTCAAAACAAATGTTTTTTTTTTAACTGAATTTCAAAAGTTTGATTAATTTATTATATTTTATAATGCGTTTTCCATTCATATGCTTGCAACTGATATAATTTATTATTATAAAAAAAAAATAATATAGGTACGTTTTAAATATTTATTTTTGTTTTTACCGTATACCGTAGTACCGTACCGCATCAGTGTTGCCAACATTAAAATCTAGCTCCCGTTGTAGAGAACTAGACCTACGTAGAGAACGGTCCAAAAAAAACACACCACCAAAAAACCCCCCCTTTATTGTTTTGAAAAGAGTTTATAAGTTGTTTTGGAAATAAAATAATAAAAAGAAAAAAAAAAAAAATAATTTTATAATATAAAAAAGGTTAAAAATAGAAAAAAAAAGCCCCCCCAACTTTAATCTCGTCAAATCCCGTCAAGTACGGTAGACAAGTGTCAATCATTCATTGTATCGCATATTTTTTTATTTTTAAACTAAAATGAATAAAATTATAATTTAATTTTTGCCATTTACAAATTATTTATATTTCGAAAACGAATAAAAAAAAAACAAATTTTTGTTGTCCCATTAAAATATCCGTTAGCCATTAAACACAATTTTTCCCGTTGCCAACCTCGCTTTACCGTCAAATCTAACGGGAAACCCGTCAAGTTGGCAGCACTGTACCGCATATTTTTCTTTTAACCTATATACGTACCTATATAAAATAAAATATATGGACCTGGCATACCTACTAATGGAAGTTAATATAGCTCTCTACTATCTTGATGTTGGTGCTGTTAGTCTATGCGACTCTTACAGCTTCATCTCGTCTCAGAGCTAATTAAAAAGGGAAAGGCAATGAGGTGAAAATGATGATGAGATGGTTTATGATTTGATATTGTTACCAATCATCATGTCGCCTTTTAGGCGTTTTTCTTTGAGCTATCTAACCGCAGTCCGAGGGGGGGGGGGTGCGGACCCCCGTCTGATTGCTCAGCTCGTGTCGGTCGATGGTCTGGGCGGTGAGAACCGTCCAGGAACGCGGGTGTATGGTGTGTACGCGGTATGAGCTAGAACGCGTCGTGCCCGTCTGTGGGTGCGACGCGTCCCATTCGTTGTCCTATTTGTGTTTGTCCCATTTAGTGTGGGTGTAGTGTCGTTGAGTGATGTGCCTGCGACGCTTGGGTCGACTGGATCGAGCGATAGAGGTGGTTCTATTAAAACATTTCGCGGTCTACGGAGATAGGGCGCGACGTTTGTTATCGGAACGTAGTTAGCTGCGTTTGTCACTAGCGGGTTAGAGTGGGTTTCTACTCTATCAAAGTAGCGTTGGGACATCTCCTTAAATATTGGGAGATAGTTGGTAGTTCACAATCATTGTGTAAATCAGAGTTCGTTGATACCACCGTGCACCGGTGGCTTTTCGCATGAAAAGTTTTGTACTCCTTGGAGTTCTAGAATATGGATCTTATATGTATGGGCGAAAGTTACACTTGCATAGGACATAACTGGTCTAATGCAGGTTTTGTACAGCCGGAGTTTGTGTCTTAGCGACAGTTTACTCTTACTGTTAACGAGGGGGGTGTAGACGGCCAATTATTGACTTGGCTCTGTTGCGTACTACACTTATGTGCGTCTTGAAACTCATGCGGGAGTCGAAAGTGACGCCTAGATATTTGGCCGATTTTTCCCAAGGGATTGGGCGGTCGTATAAAGAGATTGTTTTGGGTTTAGAACCGCCTGTAGAATTCCGTTGAAAGTATACTGTTACACTTTTTTCGTCTCCCTTCACCAAGGCGATTGGTCGCTTTTTGGAGCTTTATAGCGAGTCTATTTTTGTTGAGGTCTGACACAAAGAGTGCCGTATCGTCGGCAAAGAGAGCGGTGTTCACTACGGGGTCTTTTGGGATATCACTCGCGAAGAGTGTGAAAAGGAGTGGAGATAGTACGGAGCCCTGTGGGACCCCGGCCTTGAGGAAACGTTTCGAAGAACGAGTTCCCTCCACTCGATATCGAAAAGAGCGGTTCGAAATGAAAGCTCGTATGATGTGCACGAGCCTTTCGGGCACGTTTAGTTTGTACAGCTTGTAAATCAAGCAGTCATGCCAGTCCTTGTCAAACGCCTTCGCGACATCGAAGAAGAGGGCTCCCGTGTTTAGAGCCTTTTTCCTTAACGGGTTTTGGCTGAAGCCAGACAGAATGTATTCTGTTAGGCGATGAATCTGGTGAGTGCATGAGTGATTGGCTCTAAAGCCGAACTGTTCGTCTGGGAGGAGTCCGTTAGCTTCGGTGAAATGACGGAGACGCTTATGAATAATGCGCTCGTATAGTTTGGCCAATGTGTTGAGCAGGCTAATGGGTCTGTAGCTAGAGGGACGATTGCGCGGTTTACCCGGTTTTGGGATCCCTATTACGTCTGCTTCTTTCCAGATGTCCGGGAAGGAGCAGTTCGTGAGAAAAGTGTTGAATATTCCTACAAGGAGGCAAATAAGTGGCGCCGAAAGGGATTTGATCACCTTTTTGCTGATGCCGTCTGGCCCAGGGGCTGATCTATTCTTAAGGCTTTTGATGCTTTCGGTGACTTCATCTACTGTCACAGGATCGAGTGGTTTGCCCGCTGGTGGCAGCGCAGACCTACGTTCTACTTCCGTTTCTACCTCTAGTAGGTGAGCGGGATCTGTTGGTGCAGTGGATGGCGTGCACTGGTACTCTAGACTGTCGGCTAGGCATTCGCCTTTTTCGAGATCGTCTAGGGCGAGATTAGGGTGGTCCAGCCTCACGAGAGGCGGCATCGGTGAGGATTTATCGGCTTGGCTTTAAGAGCTCTCGTTAATTTCCAGAAAGCGTCTTGGGATGGTTCGATACCTTCTAAGAGGTTATCCCAGCTATCGTTTCTAAACTCGGCTACTCGTTGTTTAATCTCTTTTTGTAGAGAACGTACCCGAAGTTTATAGGCTTCCGTGCGGTAGCGGTCGTAAGTTTTAAGCGCGGAATTCTTCGCTCTAATCATCCGTCGAACATCCGCCGGAAGTTTCGTGTATTGATCGCTCGACACACGAACCCTACGCACCGGTGAGGTGAGTCGAAAGGGCGCTAATCGCCCTATCGGCCTCCTCCAGCGAGTCTATCTTGTCAGGTATAGTGTCCAAATGCTGGGAGTTCGTAGACTTAAGTTTGACCTCAAGTTTACCCTAGTCGACAATAGTTTTGGTCTGAGGGACCTCACCTGCCAGCCGGCCCAGTTGTAAAACGACCGGCCTGTGGTCTGACACTAGCTCGATAATAGTCTCTATTGAATTAATACTAAGTCGGATGTCTTTTAGCAATGCTATATCAAGGACGTCCGGATGTTGGTTGTTTGCAAAAGGATAGCGTGTTGGACTCTCGGGAGCGATAACATCGAAGTTAAGTCTCTCCGTGAGGTCTCTTAGAATTATTCCGTTAGGATTGTTAACGTTAGAGTTCCAGCTAACGTGTTTACTATTTAGGTCTCCTGCGATTAAAACGCTAGGGCCTAGGTTTAATAGAGCCGATATGTCGGAATCTAATATTCTTTTTAAGGGAGACAGGTATGCTGATGCAATTATTAATGGCGGATGGCCTGTGAGTGCTATCCTACAGACCGACGCTTCTAAGTTAGTAAGCGTCGGAGTATCAATCAGTACACATTGCAAGGACCTTCTGTAGTAGATCAAGGTGCCGCCTTTAGGTCCGGTCAGCCTATCATTTCTTACTAGGGTATAATTGGCTATTTTGGGATCGCTCAAACTAGGTTTCAAGAAGGTCTCTTGCACTAGCATGATGTCGATATCATGGTTGCGTAAAAATATATGATCTCTTCCTTTTGATCTCTGACACCGTTTGCATTAAAGTACGCGACAGTCAGAGACCTAGGCTTAGTTCTACCTATAGGTCTTATTTCCATTTTAGTTATAAAAGAAAAGAGTCGCTTAGGCGCACTGGAACGAACCTATCGCTTGGATAAGACTAAGATGCTCAATGGTAGCATTGAGCCTATCTTTAATTGATTTAGCTTCGCGAAGTTTGCGGGCTAGGGTTGTGACTTCGGCCACATTAAAGCTGCTGGCGAAGTTGAACACTAACGAAAGGTCAGTGTCGATGTTTGACGGTGCCTGAGGGGCGGGTTTGGGCTTCTGGGCCTGGCGAGGAGGCACTGGCCGTGAGGCGGCCGCGCTGACTATCGCTGGGGGCTTAACCCATGCGTTGGGCTTAGGTGCTGAAGGCACCGGAAGGCTTGGGCCTTGCCCGGAAGTCCCTTTAACGGGGGCGGGCTTGGCTGTAGCCTGAGCGGGCGCGGGTTGCGTCACCGAGATTGGTGCGACCGATGGGGCAGAATGCCGTGGGCGCGACCTACTGGGGTTGCCCGCACGTCCGCACCGGAATGCTCCTCCATTCTGCTTCCTACGCGGCGCTTTGGAACACCAGCGATATCTCGCTGGGTGTCCCTCTTCACCGCACAGAACACAGCTTGGAGGGCCCTCCGTCTCGGGCGTTCGGGGGCACTTAGTAGTGCCATGATCGCCTAGACACTTGACGCACCTAGGCCTGGCGAAACAATTCCTGGCCGAGTGGCCGTATAATTGGCATCGGTGGCATTGGCCAACGATGCCCCTATTACGCGGGGACTCTACAACGATCCCCGTGATATTGCATATCCTAGTGATGTTGTATATCTGTTTGCCCTCTGGAGATAGGTCCAGGATGACAAGACAAAGATCGAAATAACGTTTCTTATCGGTTGGGTGGTGCATCCTGTGCACTTCTCTGACTGGCAGGTTTTGCGATTTAAGATCGCTTAGTATGAACTCTGTTTCTAGCTCCTTAGGGAGTCCGCGAACTACAACACGGAGGTTACGGTCCTCCGCGAGAGAGTAAGTATGGAAGCTCAGATTCTGAGCTTTAAGGTGCGCAGTTAAAGCGCGGAAATCGTCCGTCGTTGCGACGTGGATACGGATGCCCTGTGGTCCATTGTGGACTTTGGGGCAGAATATCTTTTTGGAGTCTATCCACTTGGATAGGTTGTTCCAACGCGATTTGTCCTGTAAGATGGCGGCGGCTTCTCCTTCCTAGGTACGGCCTGAGTCGGGTTCGCGGTTTTGGTCGCGGTAGTTTTGCGCGCGGAAGGCGCGGCTTTTTTTGCCGGAGTGGCGGTAGGCGACGTAGGGGCCGAGTGAGGCTCGTCTCCCTTTTTCGCGGCGGGGCGCTTACGCTTTTTACCCGAGACTAGGGTGAAGCCTTCGTCTTCGGGTTTTTCGGGTCGGCGAATCTCTATATCCATTTCGGAGCCTGACTCGGCGTCCGAAAACAACGGTGAGGGACCGCGGGTGGAGAGCGCAGAAGGCGCGGGGGACGCGGCGTCGTAGACTGTGTCAATGGACACTGGGGTCGAGCGGCCGGGGCTCGGCGACATAGGATAGTCGATACGTAGAACGGGGCGTTCAGCAGTGGACGAGTTACGTTGGGCTAGAAAAGCAGCCCAAGCGTCGGGGCACACTTAGCCGAAGAAGTCGGCGAGTTCGGCTATAGTAATAGCCGCCATCTTGTCAGTGGTTTAGAACACTTGTGTATCAAGTCCCCCCACCTTTCGGCGGGGGAGGTGTGTGCCTAAACGAACACTTATACAACTAGCGCGTTGGTACGCTAGGGTGTGTACCTAGCTGTCGCCTAATGCGACAAGCGAACACAGAAATTTAAAAATAGAATTGCTGCCTCTGAGGCAGCGGGTGTGTAATAAACTACTTACAGTTTTTACTGGAAATCCGGAGAACGTGGGGCACTAAACTAGCACTACACACAACAGAACAATGGGCCGGCGGCCCGATGTACCTGGCGGCCGTAACGGAGCACAACGACACTGAAGCACTCGCGCACGCAGGTAAAAATGTCTTTGTCTTCTCTCTTGAATGAACGTACTGGGAGCGCATGGGCTCGACCGAACTACTGCACTTCACTGTTGGGTCGCAGGCGACCGAACGCGGCGAGGTACCTGATCGGAATGGTTAATATAGCGCATAGCGCCATATTATAGCGCGCTATCTCTTCATAAGACATAGCGCGTGCTATGTAAGTAATCGCCATGGCGCTTTGTGCTACGGTGCTTTGGCGTTATTAAGTATTATAATAATAAATAATATCATAATATCTAGCGGCAACGGCAACTAATTCTAGCAGCAGCACTGTTGGGAGAGGACGTGTGACGCAAATTTGATCTAGTAGCACGCTATTCATCGCGCGCGACCAAATCTAATGTTAGATGTTTAGTTAGTGTATACTGTATATTTATAAGTGATCGGAGGACAGTTTTCTACTGTAAAAGA